CCTAAACACTAAGGAGTGCAGGGGATACATCTGGATATAGAGCCACTCGCCTCCTGGACCCCGGAGCGCATACAGAAGTGTGCCGCTTCTCTCCCGTTCGGGAACCCCGGTGCTAGATCAGTCGTAGAAGACCTGATTTTGGGGTCAGGGTTTTGTGTATAGCAGAGCAGGAAATCTTCGCTGTGATCTTTTGAAAGTCACCCCTTGAGGCAGGCAAGTGCCTCCTTGCTTCAGAGCCCCTCCCCCATGTGACCTAAAACCTATGCAAAGACCAGGAGCATAGTAGATATTACATGTCATTAGAGATTGTAGAGAGTGTTGTTGTTTTGAGTCAAGAGCTTGTATGTGTTATGAGTAAATATGACCCTCCCCTCCCCCAGGTATGCCTGTAATTAAAAATTCTCAGCAAAACTTTTTCTTAGCAGCACTGCAGAGGGGAAATTAGTGGCTATAAAGGTCAGAATTGGGATTCCTCCTCAATTTTAGGGGTATTTTCTGTGCCCCAAATACTCTAAAAACCCAACAGAGGTTTGAACCCATACCCACTTCTATCGCTAACATAATAACTTTATTTAAACTTTTGTTTTTGAGCTCTGGGTAGTGAGACAAATGAGCAGAAGGTAGAATGTTCAGAGGGTTCCACATGGAGTACCGTTGTTATAATTAATATTTGATATTTATGACAATTTTACAAAGTTGTAAGTGGCTGCCGAAAAAAAAAAAAATGAGTACAGATGGCCTTGGCGTGAGCATTGCATTATGAGATGCAGGTGTGTGTGTGTCTGAGCTATGAAGTGGAGTTTGGCGTACTGTGGGTGTTCCTGGGGTTTGGGAGATACTTGGAGTAACCGTAGAGGAAGTTTTGTAGTTGTGTATCACCAGCTCTTGTTGACTTGTGTTCTCACCTACGTTATTGTAATGACAGGTTCTCTTTAATCAGCACAGTGAGTTTGCAGTAGGAGGTTTACCCTCCCCCCCCTTCACATTCAGTGCATTGGTGCTGCGTTGTGAGACTCTGGACTGCCACTGTTTTCCTCTTCCTCCCCTGCCACTTCCTGTTTTCCTCTTCCTCCCCTGCCACTTCCTGTTTTCCTCTTCCTCCTCTGCCACTTCCTGTTTTCCTCTTCCTCCCCTGCCCACTTCCTGTTTTCCTCTTCCTCCCCTGCCCACTTCCTGTTTTCCTCTTACTCCCCTGCCCACTTCCTGTTTTCCTCTTACACCCCTGCCCACTTCCTGTTTTCCTCTTCCTCTCCCCTGCCACTTCCTGTTTTAGCCTCTGCGAGTCAATAAGTTCCTGAGATAGACGTTTGAGTTTTATAAACCTTTCTTACTGCCTGTAGTCACAACTTGAGCAATAAACTTCTCTTTCTAGAGGCCCGGCTTTGTGTTTTGATTCCTGATAAGTGTGGGAGTTTCCACATTCATTTCCTGTGTATTAAAGCTTGTTTCGATTGAAGGACACCGGAAGTCTTTCACCGTTGGGTTATACTGCCTCCTACATCAGGATTGGACACTGGCAAAAAAAATAAACGGTAGGCCGGCCCAGGATCAGCCCTCCTATAATGACATCATGCTTCAATTCTTGCTATTGTCCTAGGACAGTGGTGGCGAACCTTGGCACTCCAGCTGTTTTGGAACTACAAGTCCCATGAGGCATTGCAAGGCTCTGACAGCCACAGACATAACTCCCAGAGGCAGATGCATGTTGGGATTTGTAGTTTTGGCACAGCTGGGGTGCCAAGGTTCGCCACCACTGCCCTAGGGGGATAGACTTCTGCTCTGCAAATAAGACATCAATACTGGAGCTCGCCTCTTGGTTTGCAGCTGCTATCCAGCGTGGTCGCGCTCAGCCTGGCTTTTGTAATCCTGTGTCTGGACCTCGATGGACTGTAGGTTGCAGGGAAAGCCTGGAAGCGACCGTCAGGCACTGGGTTCCGAATGGCGTTTTCTCCAGTAAAAGTTGGCTGTGAAGGAATAAATATGGTGAATGTTGCTCCAATCCACATAATCTGTTAGTCACAACCAGGTGTTGATTTCATTTGCATAATTGGAGTCTAGGAGGTGTTATTAACCTGCCCAGAGAGAGGTGTTAAAACAGCACACGCACACACCCTCTCTATTCAAGCTCGGCTTCTCCATTGTTATATAAATAGACTCTTTCACACCTCTTTAGAACCAGTCCTCCTCCCTGTCTAGGATGTGTACTTGACTGTCTTCAGGGGAGTGACTAGCAAAGTCTTGCACCTGACCTGTGGTCAGGTGCAAGACTTTTAACAAATCAGAGCATCAGTGGGCATTTTGTATTTATGGAATGTACGCGGTCGAACAGACCACGAACATCCCATAAAGTTTGGCGCTCGGCGAGCGCTCTAACTGCCGATGTTTGATTCGAACTCATGTTCGAATCAAACACTCGGCCCATCCTGAGTCTAGAGGGTAGTGGGAGTCAAATAGCAGGTACTGGTCCATGTGTGTGGGTTTTCGGTAGACCTCTATTTCCAGCCTCCTTCCCTCTTCTACTAAACAATCCAAGAAAGCCAGTTTGTTGTTTTGCATATTTTCCCGCGTAAACTTGATGTTATGATCCACTGAGTTGATATGGTCAGTGAAAGCTGGTAACTCTTGTTTGTGAATCTTAACCCAAGTGTCATCCACACACACTATATTACCAAAAGTATTGGTAACTTTAATGGCATCCCAGTCTTAGTCCGTAGGGTTCAGTATTGGGTTGGCTCTGCCCTTTGCCGCTATAACAGCTTCAACTCTTCTGGGATGGCGTCCACAAGGTTTAGGAGTGTGTCTATGGGAATGTTGGACCATTTGTGAGGTCAGGTACTGATGTTGGAGGAGAAGGCCGGACTTGCCGTCTCCGCTCTAATTCATCCCAAAGGTGTTCTATGGGGTTGAGGTCAGGACTCTGTGCGGCCAGTCAAGTTCCTCCACCCCAAACTCCCCCATCCATGTCTTTATGGACCTTGCTTTGTGCACTGGTCCAAAATGTCTTGGTATGCTGATGCCTTAAGAGTTCCCTTCACTGGAACTAAGGGGCCAAGGCCAACCCCTGAAACGCAACCCCCCCCCCATAATCCCCCCTCCACCAAACTTTGCACTTGGCACAATGCAGTCAGGCAAGTACCGTTCTC